CAGGACATCATATGGTATGGAATACCCCGTTGGTCAGTTGGGGTCAGCTGTCCCGTCTGTGTCCCCTCCCAGCTTCTTGTGCGCCCCAGCCTCATCGCTGGTGGGGTGGGGTGAGGAGCAGAAAAGGTCTTGACTCTGTGTAAGCACTGCTCAGTAATAACTAAACGTGCCTGTGTTATCAACGCTGTTTCCAGCACAAATCCAAAACATAGCCCCATACCAGCTACTATGAAGAAAATTAACTCTACCCCAGCCAAAACCAGCACACCAACATACTGTTCTGTTGCTGAAAGTTTGAAATGTAACTATGTTATTTTGCAGTAATGATGCATAGGTGATACTCGCCATTCTGCAAGAAGAAGCCATAAGCAATGAAATCAGAGTTTGATACTTTTCCCCTCTTCTCCACTCAGCTATGACCTTCCATATTCACTCAGTACACACAGAGAATTCTTCAAATTTTAAAACCAAGACGAATGTAGGTGTCTAACAGTCTACACCCATCATTGAGCTACAGCTATGTTAGATGGGTGTGTGGGGGTGGGGGGTGTGTGTGTGGGTGTGTGTGGGTGTGTGGGTGGAATCAAAGGATAATAGAAGCTCTTGCCCCCTTTTTGGAAATGTAAGAGAGTAAACCACACTGCTGCTTTAGACAATCACAGTACATACAAAATTACAGTTTTCAAATGAGCAAATATGTCAAACAAACAAACAAACAAAGATCAATATCTGTTACCAGGCTAAACCCACACCTTCCACTTTCTGAGGTGATTAGACACAGCTCGTTATTAAAATTAATATTCCTCATATGCTACTTAATTGGCCAGTTTTCCAACCGATGAAGTTCTACATGAATATAATTGTTTCCTAATGAATAAAGCAGGTAACAGCTTCTAAAAGCTTCCAGACAGAACCCAGTACAGGATCTGTACAAAAGAAACAGGCTGGGGTTTTTGTTTTCCCAAACCTAAACCCTTTCCTATTTTACCTGTCAGAATACGCATTCATTCACTTATTTATTCTCTCAGAAATTAAATTATTTCCTTGTAATATGATGGAATGTTTCCCTTGTCTCTTCATTAGCATCAGCTTATGGAAACAGAGTTACGCACAATCTTTCTAAGCACTGGAATGTCCTGCAGGTACAGAGACAACCACTGTGTGCATTCCTCAGTGATCGACAGCTCTTTAAGGCAGGTTCCAAGGCTGGAGCTTCAGCACTGCAAAAATGAGTGCATGGTTAGTCATTGAGATAAAAATGCATTATTCTGCTAGTCTCATTTTTGCTGTATGTAGCATCCTTGCCACAGAACGCACTGCCTTTTGAGAAATCACATCATAAGATGGGATCAAAGGATGTCACAGCATGCAATGTTGTGACATATTGCACACAACAGCAATACACTCAGTCAAAAAGCAAACATTCATAATGTAGCAATCTTGAGTACCAGCTACTTCAGCAACAGTATTAAAAGCAGATAGGGAATGGCCCATGGAAAGACAAATACCTCATTGCGCTCATTTGAAAGAGGCACCACACCCAGATCAGTAAGCAAGGAGGCAAAAAAACCACAGCTGGGCAGAATAGCATAAAGATACAATAAAATACTGTTTGAATCTTACAAAGATAATATACTCCCTAATTAGTAGAAAACATGAGGGCTGTTTCAGACTGAATGTATAGTCAAATTAATAAAATGTTAATTATTCACATTCCTCTTCCACATAAACTGTTTTTACCGTGTCTGTCCTCTGGAAAAGAACCATAGATGTCACCTAAAGCGTTCACTACTGGCTCTGCATGCAGACACACATGCAGCTTATATGTCATCCCCTGCAACCTACGCAAAGGTGATCCCAAGCATAACTATTCTTTCTTTAACTGTGCAGTGGTAAAGTACTGAAAACTGCAGTTTTCCTCTGCAATTTTGCCAGATGGAGTTTACACAAAAGTTACTATGTCAGAACATCACCTCAAGCCAGGCTGCTGGTAGTGAGAATTACAGAAGATATGAATGGGTGGGCTATTAAAGTCTGCAGTTTATCAGTATGGGTTTGCTCCTTTGCCTTCTTACAATGCCTTTTACAAAGGCCAATACCTGACAAATTGCACATTGCCCCTTACCTTTTCATCTTCTACTGCACCCTCCATCTCAACACATTTGTCTGCTCCTCACTGCAATAATGCCTCATGTAAACTATGCCAGACATATCAACTGACAGTTTGGCTGTGGTTGAACTGAGGCACCAGAATTTGAAACCCAACAGGAAGGAGCTGCTTTAAGAGATGAACGCATTTAGCGTTTTCATTGCTTGGAATAAAATACTGCTTGATACCTTGTCTGGTACAAAGAGAAAGCACTACTCAAACTCCGAAATGTCACAAGAGGGAAAAAGCACCAAGAACAGCATTTTTCAAGCCATTTGTCTTGGTGCCACCATAACACCATTCAAAGATAAAATCAAAATACAGACATTGGCAGACATACTGACAATAGGAGAGCATCAGACTCGGGAGATTACTCAGAACTAACTTATCTAGCACAATCATTAACATCTGTTATTTAGCCCTTTAATTCTACTTGAGTCAATGCCAATTTTCCATTGTCCTCAGGTCTTGTCATCACAATCTCTGGTATCAGAATTGCTGCAAAAAAAATCTTGTTCAAGCATAACCCTTGAACTGTAAATATTCATTGTAAATGAATCTTAAATCTATTTCCTTGAAACTGAAGTGCCTTCTCCACTCTCAATATTTGAGATTGTCTCCTACCATCTATGAAAGCTTTCTAACCACATTCTTCCATAACTGTATCCAACAGTAAGCTACTCTTCCAGACAGGCACATTTTTGCAACGTGCCACTTTGGTCGTTTGTTACTATAGAACAGGATCACTTATCATTTTCCATCTGTAGAGACTGGGCTCCTTAGACACATGCAAGCTGGAGGTATTGCCATTTTTGGCATGAACATGCTCATCAAACGGAGTTAATTTCAAATCTAGAGAAAAATCATCTTTACAGGATTCTCAGAAACAGTCACTCAAAGACATACACAGGCATAAAATCCATCATAAAGAAACTACAGGGGGTACAAGAAAGAATGCCTCTGGCTTTGCACACAACTAGACTATCATTTGACTTTGTGTACAACTACAATATTGTTTACAGGAAAGCTTATTGCACCAAGTCAGAAAATCTCAGAAAGAACGTTTTGCAACCTACATCTGTCATCTTCTCCTTGACTAGGACCAAATATCTCAAATTTTGTCAACAATCTTTAAGCCTTAAAAAGATTATACCCATTTAGTTCCTGAAGCACATTTTAAAGGAAGTTCAGCCCACCATGACATACATTGGCTTCTCTATGTTAAAAAGGACAGCTAAGTTCAATTACAGACTGCACCTCCTCCCCACAATGAAGGTCTACTGTTATGAGAATCTCAAGAAAGAGCAATTATATTCCCTACTTCATTTGCATGCTATGAAACCACTGCCCCTGCTGTTCAGGAGAGAAGACTTCTATTAGTCTTTCTTCTCCAGCCCCCTGCCAGAAAAAAAGTAATGCTTTTGTTCTACAGTAAATTTACAGGGTAACCTCTGATCACCTGGAACAAACACCCTTTGAACTGTTACTATTTATTTGTGTGATACATATTTTTATGTTCTATAAGTTGCCTATGCTACAGACAGTATACCAAAATCACTTACTGACAACACCAGAATACTGTATACCAGTGCAAGGCAGGGGGAGGGAGGGAAGAGGTACTATGGGAAATATCATAACTTTTAAAAAAGTGACATAGGTATTCTTTATCATAAGTATTTACAATTTTGGCAATCTAAAACGAGAATCTTCCTTCATAGAACTGTGCTTTGAGTATCTCTTAATATCCTTATCAAGGAAAACTAGCCATCATACAAGCATGATGGATGGAGTAAATCCCATCAGACTTTTTACAAAGGTTTTCATGCTGACACTGTAACTCTGAAACTCACAGTAAATTTATTTTCAGAATAGCCTCAGACTTGGCAGTCTTGATATGCACTTACTAATGTTTTTCTTTTAAGAACTTATTCATGTGAGGGAAGCCTGTGGTACAGATCCTACACAATTAAATTCTTTTCTCACACATCAGTGACAAATCCAAAAGGAACAACTGCAGCACAGGAATTAGATTGCTAATTGCACAATAATACTGTGTTTCCTGAATAGAGCAACTCCCATAACTATTTCAGAACCCTCTGTTAGAGCCCTCATACCTTAAATGTATCTGCCTACATCTCTCGCCTATTATTCTTAGTACATCAAAGTACAGAGACAAAGTTTGGATAAGCAATCTTATCTTTTTCAGATCCCTTCTGTCACCCTCAAGAGCAAACAGATGGCTAACTACAATGAGTAGGATCTACCCACATCGAAATTCAAAGGAAAACAAAGAACTACTCACTTTACAGTCACTGCTGCTCTTTGAGCTGTTCTGTACATGAGGCTGTCGGCTTGCCTTACGTTTCCACTGGCAGAGTGCGGCTCTGGTCTTACCTGAGCTCTGAATGGCAGCTGGGAGCACGCAGTTCTTCATGGTTCAGGATAAAGTAAAGGCAGAGGCTATACATGCCTCTCTGTGGCCCTTCATGAATGCAAAATTACTCCAGGCTTCTACACAACAGCTGCAGGCACACGCATCCTGACCCACACGCAACAGCTTGAAGAACAAGTTAGCTGTACTACTTGCTAGTACACAACTGCCTTTTTCACAGTCCTGAAGTGAGCTATTTGCTTTATTTAATTCAACTATATGTTACTCATATTTACATAAACAAAAAAAAAAAAAAAATCATATTTGTGTTCAACGTTCCTCTTCGTGCTTCAAAAACTTTACAGAGGTTCAAATCAACAAATGGCAACATAATCAATGAGAAATGCAAAATACTTCAGAATAACATTTCATTGAAAGACCAGTACATCTAGCAGCTTAGTAATGCACAGCACATCCAACCTAGGAACCATTCTAAAAAAGAAAGAAAAAAAAAAAAAAAAAAGATTTCCATTACCTTAGAAGTCCTTATATCCCAAGCTTTAACTTCCGGGCTGAACCCTCCACAAATGAAAATATTTGACTCTGTAGGGTGGAACTTCAGTGTGCTGATTCTAAATTCATTTTTGCTGCTAAATATCTGCTTCCCTAAAACAAAGTGAGAACTGGAGATTAAAATTTGAGCTGAAAACAACATATATTTGCATTTCAACCTAGCTTCAAAAATATCAAGGTTGTCAAAAGGTGAATATGTTTATATTAAGACATTTCAAGTATCTGGGGCTACTCTGATTTACTGAAAATACAAGACTGAACTCACTAATTTCTATCCATGTGAAATTGCTCCTGCTCACAGGCCTCTGCACCACTGACTGTTTCCTACTGAAAGGAGAGAACAAGTGGTTTCACATACTAAGGAGAGGAGCTTCCCCAAGGTCCCAGTTCCATTGACACGCAGGACTAAATCTACAAAGGTAATGGTTGAATGTTTTTTTTTCCCTACAGAGAAGCTATAGTCTCTCTTTGAGTGGGATAAAAATAACTAGAACAAAACGTTGTCTGTATAGAAATACCATGTCCCAAACTATACTACAACTCTTGAGTTGTTTACTTATCTTTCTGTGAAGGTAGGAGTGAAACTTCATCTTGAAAGCAGGAAATAATTTGCATACCATCATATGAAGGCAATAGCTGTTCCCATGGATACACTGTTCCCAGCATTTAGTTGTGTACACTAATCTCCACAGAATCCTGTGGTTAGTATCAATTGGATTGTCGGCACTTTCAAAGGCAACAGAATTCAGCTAGGTTAATTTATAGGACTTTTCCACAGTCCGCTGCTTCCTTTCATCCCAACAAATTCATGATATTAATGTACATTCACTGAAATATAATTTTTGGAACAGCAGCATGGACCAAGAGAAATACATTTGCTCAGTTTCACAATTTCAACTGTGCTTTATATTCTACACATCACATATAAAGATGTGCATTAAATAAAGTTACTGCTTTAAGCCCCAGTGAAGAAAGTACTGCAGAAGTAAAATACTATGACAAAAGCTTCTTAAAATATTAATTAATCTACATTTTCAGCAAGTGGGAGTTGTCAGTTGTCTTAAGATAGGCTTTCTTAAACAACTGAAAATACTTTGAGCTAAAAACATTAGTGACAGATGTAAATACTTCCTGTTAGGTGAACAATACTGAAAATCATTCATATAGATATTTTTTATGCTTATTTCATGATTTGGTGCCAATTTATTTGATTTCATCATCAGTTCCATTTTCCTCATCTGCTGAGCTCAACTTACACAGTCAAGAGGCTAAGACTTGTCAAATTATTTATTTATTCATTTTAAAGAAGAGAAGAGAGAGATTTTTAGTTCATCACTCGTGCTCTTCAAGCTAGCAGGGGCAGGGAAAATACATTGCAGGGAGCATAAGGGAGGGCTGAGTGTTGTTCTATGTGAACTCTGGTTTTTGTGGGAGTTTTTTGTTCTTTTTAAAAAGATTCTTCACCAATTACCCATGCAAGATCTAAATGGCCTCTCTGTCACTACTGAGTGAAAGACTTAATTTAGTCCATAAGTTCCTTCCACAAAAAGAGAAAAAAGTCATAAGGGCAGCAGAGGTTCTCTCTACAAGTCCTGTGCAACAGTGACCATCTCTCACCATGGGAGCTTTCAGTACCCCAACAGCTACAGAAGAAAAAAAAAAAAAAAAAAAAGACTCCATAGGGAAGGAAGAAAGTATTAAAATCATCAGTTATAGGAGCAACAAGATATTGCTCTCATGTATGCCACTACCAGGCATCATTTGCAGGCTTTAGAAAAAACACATACACATGCATCTTACTCTCATCCACAGCACTTGAGAAAATACTGAATTTCCCCATAAGTCAGTTTAATAGCACTTTGCTCCCAAAGGAATTTGGTTCCTACTAGTACCTATTTTAATAAACACTCTGGGAGTATAATCAACAAGTTTTCAATGGTATCGCAGCCAGAAATTAGCAAAACTGCAGCCTACCTGTACTAAACCTGTCAAACAGCTTTATAAAGGATGCAACAAGTGGTCACTATTCTCCATAAAGTGTGTTGTCCAAATGGCATTAGACATATACATAAGTGATCCAGTAAAACTCATCATCTAACTTTCCGACAAAGATTAATTAATTGACTTTACTAAAATACGTTTTTACGTCCATAAGTCTTCTGCTTTTTCTATAATGCATACATTTTTCTTGCCATCATGCTCTCTAGCCTAAGACATAAGAAAGTCAGGTAAGACACAATCAAAAAAGATGTGCACTAAATTCAAGATGCATTTCATCTACTAACTCCAAGATCTGTTACCTTTTCCACAGAAAGAAGACTGACTTAACATAATTTGTTATTAATTAGTCCACCTTTCAATCTCATCCCCAGCTATTTTCAAGTAATTCATTCATTTGCTCAATATTTTCTCCAGAAACTAAAAATTCTCTAATTCCCTACTCCATCTCCCCCTGTTTTAAAATAGAAGTGGGCACTGCATTTGCCATTTTCTTGTCTTCTAGAGTCTGTTATTTATCCAAAAGCTCTCACAGCACTGAGATCATTACACTGTAATTCTATGAATTCTACATTATAGTGTAATACTAAATAAAACTAATGCAAACAACTTGACCATCTTATTCATGTCTATACTCTTTACCCCCCTTCCTTTTCCTATTTTAACCTGTTTTATGCAGATATTAACCATGCTAGCTTTTTGACTGGTCTGAGGAGCAACCAGGACATACTAATTTTAAAAGCTCAGGCTCTCCAATTAATACTTTGAAATACAACTCTCTCCTCTCTCTCTCATTCTCCCCCCCCTCCCCCCCCACGTGAAATTCCATCAAATGTCTCTTTTTGGAAGCTCAGTAAACAGTGTTCTGAAGAGTTTGGTGTTATTAGATGCATACATGAATTTCATTCTACTGCCATGTCACAGAAAATGAGAAAAAGGCTGGAATGTAGAAAAGAAGAGCACAGGAGCAAAGGAGCAGCAGAAAACATACCCAAAAGGGGAGGATCACAACAGTACAGCAAGGAAACCCTCCTATTGCTAGAACTGAAATTTATGCACAATACACAGAATCTAAATCAGACTGCTTGCCATACAAACATGCCTGAACCCAGCAAAATGAACTTTCCTAACATTTATATGAATACATCCCTTAAACCCTTCCCTTTTAGGTATTAGGACTGCAGGGCTGAAGTGCTGAAGGCATGTTCTCTACACAGTTATGAAACCTCTAGCACCGTAAATCTTTCAGAACCTCAGAAACTTAGGAAAAATATCCATCTGAGAGATGGAACAGATCACTGCAGAAGATGATGTGGGGCAAAATAGCTCATGTAATTCAGTACATTAAAAGAATGAATTCAACTCTTAGCCCCTTTCCGTATGAACTTTATTTAGTATGTTTTACTACTATGAGCAGAATTTGCTGCTTCCCATGCCGTAACTGTGCTGTGACAAAACCCAGCCCCATGGCTTGGGAAATTCAGCTTCAGTGTTTGCTGGAGACCCTACTCCACCTTTCTGGAAGTTGGTATTTACAGTTATATATATTTTTGTCTACAATTATTCAGTTTATTGACATTAAGCATTCAACTTTTGGGGGCTTTATTTTATATATTGCAAAAGATGTCCTTTGAGGATAAGACTCCCTTATCCATAATAAAGTACCACAAGTGTAAATCAGCAAGCTTGTATATACCTTTATTGTGTATATATTTATTATATTTTAGTTCCTAAAGGCAGCATACCAAAGATTCAACCAACTCATAGGCTGTAGAAAATTACATCTTCTCAAAATCTATTTGGCTAATTGAGGCAAAATCCATACCACATATCATTTTCCTGTATGAGAGCTTGTTATTCCAAAGCAGAAAGCAAACGTTTCTCTCAATCTTTAATTTTCACAATTTCAGTAACAATATCTACTACATCTTTGCAGTGTGTTTTATATTCTTAAAGTGCTTTAATTCAATTCCTCATTCATTAAAGGCCCACCAGTAACAAACACAGTATGAAAAAAAATCTTTAAAAAGATCTTCAACATATGTTTCTGCTCCTTCATGCTGCAGCCTACTGTGAAACTGCTCAACTATGAAATCAGATATTTTAAAGGCTATTTAACATTGTGAATTTTTCACAGAACATCAGCACAGTTATTGAGCACAGGATGCTTCTGTAACTGTGTTTAGTGGTCATCAGGGTCACACCCCTACCTGCATAATCCAAAAACATTCACTTCCTTACACTAATCTGTAAAGTGAAGCCTAAGACTTACAAGGACATGAGAGTAATCTAGCTAAGCAGAAGGGATTTCCCTACTGTGTTTACAAAAAGACATGAGACAATACATTAGAAAAAATCTCATTATAGTCACAATCTCTCTCACACAATAGTGAGAAGAAAATTAGATTGATCAGAAATAATTTGTTCTTAACAAATCAATGTTGGCTGTTACTCATCCATTTTATCTTGGCGTGCTTACAAAGTGCTTTATTATTTTTCCAAGAACTAAAGTTATACAGACTATATGTGTTTCCTAATTTTTTCCCCTACAGTCACAAGCTTCTGGCATGCAAAGCTGCTTGAAATAGTAAATCATTTTATCTTTTACCCTTGAAAATGTCCCCAAAATAAATATTTTTCTCTCTTCTTATTCTCTCTTAACAATAATAATGTTTTATCTATAGGACTACTGAATCCGTATATAAAAGAAAATATAGAAAAGCAAATTTGGACCATCCTCTTGGAGGTACAAAATGTTCCGTTAAGAAACTCTCAAAATAGTGTAAAATAAAATAAGTTAAAAACCAAAACAAAACACATTATATATAATCTGAACTTTCCTTCAAAACCAACAGCTTAATTTCAGTATCATAGCCATGGTAACGTGAAAACTTTCAAAATAATGGGGAATTTAAATTCCTCATTATAACTCTGAGGAAGTTATATTTTAAATCAAGCTCAGTCCATGAACTAAAATACAAACGTAGCATTTGGCAACATAGGAAATGTGCCAAAATTTCTTGGAACATTCAAACTGTCATAATATTAAAGAAATGAAAAGTATCTACAATATGCAAATAGTATCAACCCAGCCA